TCAATTTTTTTTATACAGTTTAAAATACTTTTACAAGGGTATCATGTAGCCCATTCTTGCAATAAATCATGTGTAAACTTGAAGTTTTACACTTAGTTGTTATCATATCTTTTGAATCCCTTTGAATCCCACAACTTTCATAACACGATTTACTCAAGGAAAAATTGCCTGAAATTAAACGTTGCACAGAATGTAAAACCACTGAAAGGCAATAAATGTAAAGTAGCTGAGAACAACAACTTAGTGAAAGTAACGTGTTGTTTTATGTAACATTCGTTATATGAATTTTGTAGAAAATCTTTTAAAAAGAGAACCTAGGAGAGTAAAAACCACAGATGCGGAAGGGGAAGAGGAAGAGGTAAGTGAAAATATTGATTTTGAAGATTGCTCCAAGAAATAGAACCAAGCTTTTTGACCAACTCTATTTAGTAGCTTGGCCATTTGAACATAATGAGCAAATAATGGACCATATGAAGAGATTAATGGCGGTGTTCATGTGTTATCTTCTTGTTTTATTAAATAATACAAAAATTAACTCTTTTAAGTTTGACCTTGCATTCTATTTAGACTCGGTAGATACAAGTCTTGGAGCAAATACAACATCAAGAGCAGTAGATCGTAAAAAAAAGAAGCAAGTTGCAGATGAACATGAGAAATATGTAGAGAATATATTCAAGAAATACATTCTTGTTGAATGTTGACGATTATCATAGATTCACGTCCAGAGACAATCTGATGCTATCAGTATATCAAGCACAAAATCAGTATCCTTTAATTACTAAAACTTTGTTATTTCTAAGAAAACTTTTTTTGCAATTACATATATTGTGATTACACTAATTATACTAATTTGAATAATTGTACATACTCATGTTATCACAATCATTGTCTACAAAGGTGTCAATCTAAATGTTGATATCTTGGACTATCATCAAGTTGAAATCAAAAAAAAAGTCACCACACTAAAAGAAAGTATGATGAAAATATTAAATTTATTGAAAATAACGAATATACAGTTGATGATGATTCGGGTAATGTCGAATCAGGAACAAATGATGTAACAACGATGTAAATTTTATTAGAACATGCAAAAAAACATTTTTTTGGGTTGTAAATTTGTTTTTATTAAATAAATTTGTTTGATTTTTCATACATTGTTCATTTTTCGTCTCAATCATGTATCTTAAATTTGTTGTGTTTACAATCATTTCATAGACATTCATTATATTAAGTTTATTTTGATTATATCGAGAGATATGGTCAAGAGAAAAGAGTTATTCTTCGACCAAGTCAAAAACCAACCCTTTAAATACATTTTTGAGTAGTACAATTTAATTTATTAGACTATTTCAATGGTTTGTCGCATGGTTGCTTTCAACTTCTTAAATTTGTTAACGAAACAATTGTTGGTGAAGTGATTGTTGACGTTATCAAATTCACGATTTTAATTGGTCAACTAACAAATTGCATGGGTTAAAATTTTGTTATTCCAGTCAGGGTTTTTACCGAATTTGGAAATCGATTCTAGAATGATCTACACAATTTTAATAGGCTCTTGTGCATTCATTTCCGTTGTGACTTTACACAAAAAAATTTTGTTGTAATTTTAAACCATTTGAGAATAATTACAAGTTCTTTTTTTTAAAGTGAATGAATGATTTGAATTCCGAATTAAAGAAATATTACAATTTAGAATGTTAGGAATAATCTTTCTTGATAATTTCTGCAAGTTAATTATTTTATGGAAATTATATGACCAATTAATAATGCTTTCGCCATGTTTTTCTTGTTTCCTTTTTCATTATTATTATTATTAACGAAAGGATCTGCACAGAATTTAGCCAATCAGAATTTCTTTTCATAATGTCGACCATTACAGGGTATTGAATTTAGCCAATCTAGAATTTTTCATAAGAGTCGATCATTACAGTATTAGTTATACATATGTAAACTCGATAAGTCGGTCACTCGATGAGTCGGTTTACTCGATAAGTCGGCCATATGAGCTCACCCCCACATGACCGACTTATCGAGTTTACATATGTAGTTGGCTCGGTCTAAAGACATCCTAAATTTTGAAAGTATAGAAGTCATTTTCTGTCCTATCTTTTAAAAAAATAGCTCTATTAGTTGATAGAATATGTATTTAATTTTAATGTAATAAAAAGATTTTCTCAAAAAAATTCTTTGTAGAGTTCTATTCTTTTTTAAAACATGTACTTTACTATGCTCGTGAGAAATTGAGCGCTAGGATCATTGCTAAACTTAGACTAGTTTTTGATTATCATTACTAAATTTAAACTAATACTCGACCATCATATCTAAATTTGGCAGTAAGGAAAATAGTTTTTTAACCAAAATCACGTGAACCCTTTTTTATTGCAATTTTTTGAAATTTGAGCGCGTAGCGCAGCAATAGGAGGTTTTTAGACCGAGTCAACCATATTTCCATCTATGGTAAAAACCCTGACTGTATTCATAAACACTTTCAAATATTCATAACACCTAAAATTTCTCAAACAAAAAAATGTCATCTCAAACCATATATATAAACACAATAAGAAATAATAATCAACATAAGCTTACAAATTTTATGACACAAAAAAGGTTTGATTTTTATACTATAAATAAAAATAAATGATCATGCATGCAATGGTGTTGCACGATTATACGCATTTTGTTCACACTTTACATTATTATTATTATTATTATTATATTACATAATGGGACATTTAGCCTGAGCTAATTGGACTTAAGGCCAATTAGATCTAATTGTCAACATGGGTTCTTTGACCCGACAGTCAATTAACCATAAGGCAATTTAACCATTAGGCTAAATCCAAATCAAAAATATTTGGCCTTAAGGCTAATGACAACACTGGATCTGGAATTAGTAAATATGGTGGAGCCGATGGTTTTGATTCTTTTAGTAGTAGTCATTCTTTGGATTTTAGAAATATAAATAGTAATGATTCTAAAGATGTGTTTGGTGCATCATCATTAGGATGTAAAAATCTATTGTATTCATTATCAAGTCGTAACGATCCAGCATTTAGTCATAACTGTGGATTCTAATTTGTTTTTTAATAATAATAATGTAAATTATTTCTAATTTTTCTTTATTTGCATGTAAAAAATTTATTATTCAAAAATAACGATAGTTATTAATACATAGTTATATAATTAAATAAAAACATAATTATTAAAAAAAATTAAAAAGACATATATGTTTTGAAATAACAATAACGAATGATAATTACTTCTACTACTACTACTAATTTCATTATAATAATATTTCAAAAAAATAAATAAATAATAAATTCTCAAAATCAAAATCAAACTTAGATTAAAAACTTATTAAAAAACTAAATAATTTTCTTAGATATTTATTTACTTTAAAGTTTTCTGCCAATATATCTATAAGATACTAAATAACTTTTATATTCATTAACTTGAGCATCATGATCAGTAATTAATTTTTCGAATTGGTCATCGCTTAATTTCAAATAAACATTTAGGAATTTTTTGAACAATCTTATAATTGTAACGAAATTCAAGGCCAGCTTGGCACACGGTAAATTAAAAACAAGTTAAATGAATTAATGAAAGAAAGAAAGAAGCAACGAATGAATATTAGTTTGTGTATAAGTTATAATATAATATATTGTATTGTACACTTACAAGTTCGCCTACTCTGCCTCCCCATTTACCAACTGGAGTACATTTTTCTATACGCCTGACATCAGTCATTTGATTTGTGTCTTCCAATATTTTTTTAAGATCAGGTCGATTTTTTAAACTTACATTTCTGGATCGAGCAAATAAAAAAACTGTGTACATAAATAGATATATATATATATAAATGTGTATATATTATTATCTTTAATAATCCGAGAGTTTTTATTCATTTCAAAAGAGTAAATTATTATCCAATTTATATTTATTTATAAACAAACTTACATGCTTCTGCTAGACTTTTGGTGGCGGGGCCTTTCTTTTCCATAAAGAATTTGATTTCCATTAATTCAATCCAACCGTCGGGATTGGTGACTCTGACCAATTCGTTAATATCACGAACCCATTCAGATGGAGTGAAGGCAGTTGATAGAAATCGTTGATAAACATAATCAAATGTATTTTCTGGAAATGGAAGTCCTTCCAAAACATTATGTTTTATGAATCCTATATTTGTTAAAGCTGGATGATCCTTTAATGACGATTGAAATATCGGGGATATATCCACGCCTACAAACGTTGAATTAGGATAATTTGTCGCCATATCGATAATCCAGGATCCTGGCCCACATCTTATATTTATAAATGTATATTATATATGAATTTAAGTGAAAATAAGTATGTGTATTAATATAAATAATAATATAATATGTGTGGAGTTTTACGTGTTTTTATATTTTTATGCGCAAAATTACGTGCATTATTCATTATTTATTTATTTTTTTCAAAAAAAAAAAAAAAAAACAAACCCTACATCCAGTACCCTCACCCCACCGTTACTCAATCGTTCTCCCATTGGCGAAGAAAAATTTCCTTGCCAAGCATATCTAAATAAATAATGTTGCATATTTAATCTATCTACTTCTTTCTTGTCATTTGGAAACCAATATCTGGAGTTTTCGTTATGAAACCTTCGTCCATCAATAAAACGAAATTCGTCCATAAAACTAAGATCATACTCTTCATCATTAGATGAATTATTATTCATATTCTTATTGTCGTATAAACATTTTTCCTCTTTAATTTCGTTGAATTTACTCATAGACATCTTAATAACAATTACTATTTTGGTTGATATTATAAAATTTATAAAATATGGGAATGTAGAAAAAAAGACAGAAAATTTTGGAAATAGCTCAGAGTTAATGTAAATAGAATGATAATAACGTAATAAAGAATGAAATTTAATAAAATAAATGAAAATAAGGATTAAATAAAATAAATGAAAAAAAAAATTAGCAAAGGTTTACTTTATTTAGCTATTTATAATATTTGCACAATTTTTTTGCCCTCCGCTTCTTTTTTATTGTTATTAAATTCCATTATTATTGCTTCTAGATTACATACATACATACTATAAGTTGCTAAGTATTGTTATAATATCACGTGATAAGGATTCAAAACTATTGTTTCTTCACAAAGAAATAATAAACAAACAACAAATATTTAAACAAAAAATTTTCTATCAAGATGATTTTAAATACAAACATCATTGTTCGCCATACTGTGGGTTGTACGAACTACCGATTTTTTTTCAAGGTTATTGAATAATTAGAATAGAAAGAAAAAAAGAAGTCTAGTGAAAGAAGAAAATTTTTAATCAGATATATATTTCAGTCGTGTAACTATAAATTGTGAAACCAAATTTTTTTTTAATTTAACAAAATTTTTTTTTTAAACTTAATTTTTAGATAAATTGACGTGGTTGTTGCACGTATCGCACGCAATATGTCACAGGAGGGCTCATAAATATATGATGGTTCATTTAATAATTTATTGTAAAGTACAATCTACCAGTTGCTGTTGGAATGTTTTTTGGGTTTTTCATGTAGTACAAATAGTAAAATTTTTTAACAGGATCTTTTTCACGTATATTGTAACCCTCCAACCTTGTTTTTTTTTTCATCAAAAAAAAGTTGCAATAATCGTTTTTTAGAATAATTTTCAAAGAAAATGTCACAAAGTTTGACCTTTAAACTATGTCAAAAATTGATACATATTAATTAAAATTTCTGAAAAGAAAAGAAAATTTAGAAAAAAGTCAAAACACGGTCAATTATCATTAAATCCAACATATTGGGGAAAAGAAAGTATGCCATTATTCATCCATTTCGAGAAAATATCTGGTTTAAAGATACGTCATTGAATCGTCTTGGTTATTCCTACTTGTGCACCCCAAACCACTTAAATTAAGGCCGATGGCCAAAGTCCTAAATTTTCGATGATCGGAGAGAATGGCGCATTTCTCTTGATCCAGGAATGAGAACTTTCATGTAAGACCGTAAAACAGGTTATAACTTGTTTATATCTGTTGTGCTTTCATCACGATAAAATCCGGAGTGAAAGGGATTCTATTCACGGCAAAGATAGGAAACGTAAAAGATACAAGCTCTGTCGATGTATGTCTCGAATCTGCGAGAGAGTTTTGTAATATCGCATATGAATGTCTTTGAAAATTTGCAAACCGGTATGTTAAAACCACCATGTAATTTTCCTCTTTCAGTTCAAACACAAGACATAGCTGCTTTAGAAAAAATATATAATAATAACCTAAAACTGTGCAATTCAAATAAATGCTCATTTCCGATTTTTCAATATAAATCTTACGAGTATCCTGTGACATCAGTGGGGGGACGGAATTTTGTCCAGTGCAATGTGGTTATCTGCACTGAGGAATACAATAGCAAAACGTCTGGACCTTTAGATGTAAATCTTGAAAATCAATCATTGATAGAGAGATGTAAACAGCGCCATAATCTACTTTTATAGTATAAGATGGAACGCAGCAAGAGTTGTTGGCAGCGTTGGGTCATAAACACGAGGCGCCTTATTGTAGGCTTAGGTATAAATAAGTTCAATCGATATATATATAAGAGGTTAGTGGTAATTTTTTTTAAATTTAAAGGCGTAATAAAAAATGTGCGTTACACATACTAACTAACGCACGCATATGATACGTTAATAAAACAAATATTTATTTCATATTAATAAAGGAACCTCTTTCCCATGTTACAAAAATATCTTGTTTTTGGGATAAATTTCCTAACAAACAAAACAATCATTATTCTTATCATTGTTGTTTCTGTAATAATAAAAAATGGAAGAAATCTTTTTAAAGAAGATAAAATCTTTAATCATATGCTTATTGGCAAAAATAGTTCAATATTAATACACCCTGTAGTTTGACAATGATTTAATAATCAAATAACAATATCTAGGGCTTAAATATACAACGGATAACTACTGAAATTGCTGAATAATTAAATTAATCTACATAAACTACAATCTTAGGAATCTGGGTCACCCCCATTGATTTCCATTTTTAAAAGTTCCCAAATAATCTTAAATTAACGAAAAATGATATTTACCACTTTCACTCCTGGTATCAGATAAGTTGCATTATTAAATCAGGTCAGAATATCAATTCATATTTAGTGACTTGACATTGTGTAAAAATATATAATTCTAAATCTGTTTTTATTAGGCTTATTTTGGAATACAGCTTGAAATAATGGATCGATACCGTTTTTCCACCTGCATATATTAATATTATTATTATCTTGACATGAAGTACAAGAATTATTCGCACTTTGTTTATAATTAGCATCGTGTGATTTCCCAGATTATGATAAGGAAAATTTTATTTTATTATTAAATGATAAAAAAAAAATTACATAAACATATATTACAATGATAAGAAATTTGCACCAAGTTTGAATGTGAATTTCAGGTATTTTTACATATAAGCATACATACATACAACCCAAATTTATTTTGATTCAAAAGTCAAGGTTTAATCATATTAAAACCATATGTGATTTGACAATTTGATCCCAATCCGATTAAAGTTAATCACAAATTGTTAATTAATATTAAAGAGTGAAATTGAAAATTGTAAACTGCTTTTTTTAATAGATTTTTTACACCAAACAAAAGTATTTTTTCTACTTTGACTTTTAAAGGTCACACAGGATATAAAAAAATGTCAAAAGTAACATCAAAGAATTTTGATCCCAGCCAGTTCATAGTGAGAGATGTCGTGTGACGACATGTTTACAGTCATTATTATTATTTGTGCTGTACTTGATTCTTTTTCTATTTTATTGCGTGATCAAAAAAAAAATTTTCAAATAAGAAAAGTGGAAATGATAAACACAATGGTTAAATAATAAAAGAATATCATACATCTAGTGCTGTGACCCGAAACTCTTTTGAATTGTCGAGAGAAGAGCCTATATATATATATCCGAAATCAGAAACTTCTGAATTAGATGATTAGTACAAATTTAGAAACTATCTCCCAGAATTCAAAATTTGATTGGATAATAATGTTACTGTTCAGGTAAAATTTACAATTCGGAATTTTCAAGCTCGGCGGATTTTTGGTTTAGCCGATAAGTTTCGGGAGATGTAATATAATTTTTTTTAAGCTGACTGATTGATTGGATTATAGATAATCTGCACCGTATTAATGGCAGAAATTATAGTTTTGTATTTTAGTATGAGTCTAAGTTTCGGCATGAGTTTAGGTTTCGGCATTTGATATTTTTATAAACTAGTTTCGATATTTGAAGTTCCTTAAACTTAGTTTCGAGTCACAGCATTGCTCACGTACGACCTTAGAGTTACGAGAAGAAATGGCTTAAAAGTTTTCCCACCATCATCTATTTGTTAGACGACCTTTTTTGAAATCTATTCTTTTTTTGTTCAAAATTTATTTCAGGAAGCTTATAAACAACAGTCAAAGGTTATGATAGCAAACAGGGATCGATTTTACCTACACGATCATCTATGACACACACAACTCGTTATGTGTGATTTAATTTAATTTAAGTTTTTAAATTTTTGAAACCTGAAAATATGAATTTCGACTTCTACAATTACTACATGCAATCGGAAAGGAGTAGTCGGATAAAAACAATGTCTTGATGGATGGGTTAAAATTGCATGTTCCAAGTTTCGGGATTGAAGCATGCACTTATTTTTTGTATTGAATTTAAAAAAATATTTAAAGGTAGTTGTGCAACCGTCAGAATTAAATTTTAACGACGTAGTGGAACGTATGCATGCAGAAAGGGCTAGAAAGATACGTTGGCTGTATCAGGAAAACAAGGTATGTTACCGCATCTGGAAATCGAGATTCCCATTCATGCAAATACATTTTTGGTAAGATGAATGCTTGATTTATAATTATCGAGGACAGGTCACTTTTCTTCTTCAAAGAATTTACTCCAACTTGAAGGCAGCTTTAATTACCCACTCACAGTAACGGTTTAGCAGTTTGTTTGACAAATTATAGATTACAACTTTATGCCTGCTGTATTTCACCTTCTGGTGAATTGACTTACGACAAACCAGATTCATTCATTTCAAGCGATTGATTTTAATTCGTATTTATTTGCATTGCATTAAAATGATTGGATTTTAATAATTTATATTTAAACTTTAATTTATTTGCCTGGAAAACAGATTGTTTGAAAAGAATAATTAATTATATTGTTTTTATGCTGTTTCGCAATTGCCATTTCTTATAGGGATCGTAGCGAGAAAAAAATAAATATTATGTAGTAGACGTTACTATTTGTTTGATTGTTTCACGTCATCGCCATCTTTTAATTATATCTGAGAACAGTATTATTTATGATTTTTTCACAACATTAATATTACTATAAAATTGATGTCGATCCATTTCAAATAAATAACATTTTTAAATTCATACATATATGAACATGAGTTCGTCATCCTCAAGAAGACATATTACAAGAAGTACCAACCCTATACATGGACGTAGTCATAGAGAACCATCATCGGCATCACATTCTAATAATACACCTGATGAACAAATTTCTGACGATAGCGTTATAGAATCAGACGACGAGTCAATGGGAACAGTTGAAGGCTATAATAGTAGTATAAGAACAAGAAGAACAAATAAAAATAACATTATTTATCATCAGAGTGACGAGGAAGAAGATATGTTGGAGGAGGAGGAAGAAGAAGAAGAAGTAGAGGTAGAGGAAGACGAGGAATTAGAGGAAGGATTAATTACGAGGGAAGAGGTTGATTTTGATAATGAAGGGGAAGAAGAGAGTAGTGAAGAGGTGGAGGAGGAGGAGGAAGATGAAGGTCAAAGTGATTATGAAGAAGTTGTTACGAAGAAATCGTCAAGAGGTGTAAAGAATTTACACCAACTAAAACAAACCTCACTACAAACTACACGTCTAAAAATTAAACCACAACTACCACAACTACTACAACAGCAACAACAACAGCAACAACTACAACAACCATCACTACAAAAATCATCTCAACGTCAACTTAGTAGTAGTAGTAGCTCTTCAAGAAAAAGAGGTAAGATGAATTAATTAATCAATAAGTGAATGAATGATATGACCAATTAATTAATTAGAATGTATATATGGATGATTTATTAATTTGTAAATTTGTAAATTATAATTTATTAAAATTTTGAAAATTCTGTTTTTAAATAAAGGGAGGTAAGGACGCGATAAATATTCGTTGATTAATTAAAAGGCTTTTCTTTTAAAAAATAAATATTAAATTTATTTATTATAATTTTTAAAAAAGTATAACTGAATCTTCAACAACGTCATACACAGGACGTGTATTAACGAAAAGACAACGAGCAAAACTTGATGATAATTATGAAGAGGATTTACTCGAACTTCCCATGGGTAAGTAAATTAAATTAAATAGTTAATTAATTAATAAATTTATTTATTTATTTATTTATTTATTTATTGATTGAATTAGAAACAACGAGAAAGAAGCATTTGACAGAAGAAGAAATAGCATTAAAGAAATCAGAAATAGCAAGGAAAAGAAAGCATCAGAGTATACAACGAGCTGAACAAGACAAGGTTTTTGTTTTTTTCAAAAATACTAAACATTTAATAATAAATCAATATCCCGTCATTATTCTAAACCCTATATGGTATATGTATGTAGATGGATACCATCAATAGATTATTAAAGAAACAAGCTACAAGAAAAAGAAAAGCAGACCAAGATGAAAATGATAGTGCTAGCAACAGTAATAATAATAGTTTTAATGATTACAACAATAACAATAACAATAACAGTAACAGTAGCAATAACAATATCAATAACAACAATAAAACAGCTACTGCTTCTGCAACACTAACACTACCATCAAATTCAATTCATTATGTTAAATCTGTTGATGGATCAACTTTATCAATTCCAATTGGTGTTGAGATCCCCATAAAATTTGAAAAAGGTCCAAAGTAAGTTATTATATTATTTTGAAATGTAATTATATTGCAATTTTCATCTTGTTATATCTTATATCTAATACAATTATTTTTCACGTTTCATTTTTAATATATTTGTTGATAGGTATCCTCCACCAATTCCATCATGTTCATTATCTGGTTGTGATAAACCTAAAAAATATCGTAATGTAAAAAAATTCGAAGAATTTGCTTGTTCAATGGAACATTTGAAATTATTAAGTTCATAAATATATTCATTATACTAGCTAGATATTGTTTAAATCTAAAAATAATTTATTATTATTATTTACAAATAGAAATTTAATTCATTCATCAATTTAAATTTTTGTAAAAAAGTAATTTTTTTGAACAATTAAATAATTTTCATTGATCATTAATATTTCACTAAAAACAAATAATAACGATGCTAATAATAAAAATTAATATAATAATATCAATTAATCCAAATATCAATTATTTACAAATTAAATTTTTTTATTTTTTAATTTTTAATATAGAAAAATTTTTTTTCAAATTACGATTATTATTAAAATCGTATTACTACTATTTAGAACAAATATTATAAAATATATAAAATTTTATGGATCACGACCTAAATAAAATATATATTCATTAGTTAACCGCGATAAAATCTTCCATAAAAAAATAATTATATATTATATAGTAATTTTTTTTAAATACTTGGATAGAAAACCTGAAAGTCTCGATTCAGTAAAATCCCATAACACTTTAAGTAAATCTTCCCCAAGCGAATAAAGATCCATATGGAATTCTCCTTATTTTTTTTTATTTTTTATTTTTTATTTTTTTGAAATAAAAAAAAGTTATTAATAAATAAATAATTTATAAATTTATAAATAATTGTACAATTAATTACACTCTATCTCATCACAATCTTTCATTATTTTTTGCCCACCACCAAGAAACAATCATTTACCATCAATGTCATCATTTATGTACATATCATTCGTACGATTTCGTGTTATTAAATCTATAACTTCCAAAATATCATTGCCTTCTAATGAACTCAGATTATTTGCCAACCTTGTATAATCAATCTATTAAAAAATTTGTTTTTGGAACCAAATTAATATCTTTTAGAAATAATAATAATATGATGTATGTTATACACATTACCAAACAGTTTTCCTTATCATAAGCGGAATCAGTTGAAGAGTAAGAAGATCGTGAAGAAGATTCATAATTTGGAGAATCATCGATTTTATACCGATTTGGAGTTTGTGTTCTGTTATTAGTAGTAGTACTATTAATTGTAGTCGGTGTGGTAGTAGTTGAGCTGATTTTATTATTGATCATGGCAGAGGATCTTGCAGAAGGATATGTTGTCTTTGTAGTAGTAGTTGATGATGATCTTTTTGGTCTACCAGGTTTTAATTTAGATTTTACAGCCGAGGATGATGAAGATACTGATGAAATTCGTGAATCATGTAACACTGGTATTTCTTTTTTAAGCAATCTATGAAACTCTGGTTTAGGTTCGGTAAATGTCTATATATATACATTATATACATACAAGATAAATAGTTGGATATATATAAATTTATAATTGATTTCATCTCTCCATTCATCTAATTTATTCATTAAATAAAAATTCCATTATTTTTATTATTATTATAATTACCAAATTATAGATAACTTCATAATGGGGTTTTTGAAAATTAAGATCAAAATCTATATTCCATGGATCGATTGATTTATCTGGAAAAAAAAGTCTGATATTCATATCAAATTCTCCCCAACCTTTTTCTATGATAGTGAATGGTGCTTTTTTCATAACTAATAAAAGTTTTTAAAAAAATCATTTTTATTTTTATTTACAATAAAAAACAAATAACCTAAAAAAAAAAAAAACTAACTTCTTGTTGGATTTTTAAAGGTTGGATGTAAATTATATTCAACTTTTTCAATAAAATTAGCTTGAAACTTTGCTCCCACATCGTTAATTGCATAAATCGTCAACTTCCATTCACGTATAGAATATCCATCAGGTGATTGAAATTTTGTTACTTCCTAGAAATATAATTTGTTTATGGAATTTTAAAAATGTTTTTGCTTTTAATATTTAAACAAATTATTTTTATTTATTTTACCTGATCAATAACCACAACTATATTTTTTTCATATATGATCTATATGCACAAAACATGAATATTTTGTATATATATATATGCATTTTTATTTAACGCAATAAAATGAATTAATAATGGCCGATTGTAAAATTTAACGTGTTATATACTCTAATGAGTATAAAAAAAATATCAACAGTAATATAATAATAACATGAAGATAAAAAGAACCTTTTCTGCCATTTTGTTGGATAATATTGTCAATGATAAACTTGGAAATGGAGGGGGTTTTTTTTGCAATATTGAATGTTTATACTTATATATATATATATATATAATTGTTATAAAATTATTATAGATATGTAATGAAAAATTGAAGAGAATAAAAAGAAAAACGAACGAACGAACGATGAAATAAAAAAAAAATATTTAGATTATTATTTAATATTGAGCATTGAGATTTCAGGGTTTAACTCGCTAAGTGAAGAGAGCCCCGAAAACTACATAAATATTAATTATTAAAAAATTATTGATTGTTTAATATTAAAAGGTTAGAACAAGATCAAAAACTAGATAGGTCAGTAACCACGCTGTGATCAAAAAATTTTCCAGATCTGGTAATTTTCACATTGCACATGAGAGAGCACACCACCACATGCAAAGTTCAAATATTTTTCTCGGGCCTTGTTTGTTGAAAAAGGGTAAATTAAATTTGACAAGACTATAGATGGGCGTCTAAATTGTTTTTGGGGTTGTCTAAAGTCAAAGTACGGTGCAGATCATATATAATCATTAATTGCTTATAGTAACAATTGGTCAACTTCAAAATACTAAAACAAAAAAAAATTATAACATTTTAAAAAATTTAGCCGATAAGTTTTATTGTTCATGACCCAAGCTTCAAAACTTATTGGCTGGTTTTTTCTTAAACTGAAAATTGGCAGAGCCTTAACATTTTGAAAATTCCGAATTTTGTTATACATTTAATGTTAAGAAATTGAGACTAAGTAAATTTCGTGTAACAACTTTTTTTTCATAAATATTTTCTACAACATACATTTGATTTATTTATTTCCTTTTTTTTATTAATAAATAAAGTTCTTTACAACAAAAAAGTTTAACGAACATATTACATTAAAAGAAAATCATTACCAAATTTGGTCGTGAGATTCAAAATATTGGAAAACTCTTACCTAGAGATTGACACCTAAAAATTCTTTAACCGGTTAATTGACTGTGAAAACCTTCAGTTAATCGGTTAACCAGTTATGGATCGAGCATCATCGCCATATTTAGTTAGAAATTTAAAAAATAATTTTTAATCATATAATTTGATCATTTACAATAAAAATCATTTCTCTTTAAAAATAAAATTTTACTAACAATTTCAGAACTTAGTCTTGTTCTTTTTACAGTAATTTGATTGCCAGCATCACTAAAGAGTCTTTCAGATGGCACAAGAGATTGACACCTAAAAATTCTTTAACCGGTTAATTGACTGTGAAAACCTTCAGTTAATCGGTTAACCAGTTATGGATCGAGCATCATCGCCATATTTAGTTAGAAATTTAAAAAATAATTTTTAATCATATAATTTGATCATTTACAATAAAAATCATTTCTCTTTAAAAATAAAATTTTACTAACAATTTCAGAACTTAGTCTTGTTCTTTTTACAGTAATTTGATTGCCAGCATCACTAAAGAGTCTTTCAGATGGCACAGATGTGGCAGGTATTGAAAGGTATTTATTAGCTAATTTTGAAAGTGTTGAAAATTCAGTTCTTCTCATACTCCCCCAAATCCATGGATTTTCATTGGGTTGTGCTATAGAAGTTAATGAAGATCTAAATAATGGTCTACCTCTGATAATTCTGACTCCTCATCATTTAAATTTCCAAATATTGATTCAAAAAGTGGGGAGACTTTTGTTGTTTGTGATGATGATGAAATACATGATGATTGTCTATCTTGTTCTTTGACATATTTTAATTCTAAATAAAGTTCTTTCAATTTTTCAATAGTTCTTGTTCTAGTTTCATAATCAAATAATACCATTTTTTTCAAATGTGGGTCTAATAAAGTAGCTAACAACTCAATATCAGATGTTTGGTTCCAATGGTCAAACAAAGACTCATATATTTTTTGTTGAAATATCATGGCTATATTATTTAGATTGGGTCTTGGTGGTGGATTGGATTTTTTTTGACTTTCTCCATGATCATAATCACAATTACCATCAATATCAGTTTCATCATCAGATGAAATTAATTCTAAAAAAAGAAGCACAAATGATGATGTTAATAATAGTAATAGTTATAATTAAAAAAATTTAAAAAAGATCATGCATACCATCATTGTCATTATCACCTTTTCTATTTCTACTTGTTAGACCACAAGCATATTTAAATTTTAATTTTTGGATTGTAGGATACATAAGAGACAATGTTGGATATTGTGCACCAGAAAAAAATGTTGTGGCTTCTTCAAATGGTTTTAGCAATAACAAAACTTTTCCAGAAGGTGTCAGCAAGCCATTGTATTGACGAAGTATTAGCATAGTGGACATTTTATTACATTGGCTAAATTTTGTGACGATCTCCCTTCCAGATATCACGCAAAAATTAAATTTTATTGGCTTGAAGATCATTACGCAAATTTGAAAAACAAATATTTTAATTAATATCGGAAGGAAGGAAATTTAGTTTCGAATTGATAAAAATATTAAATAAAAGAATTAATATAGTATTTCTTACTGAATGTTTTTAATATATAGGCTTGGTTTCTTATTATACAGTCTAATATATTATTTACTTTTTAACTTTTCATTGACCTCATCAAATCAACATTTCATCTTTGATCATGAATTATCATCCATTATAATATTTTATATATATATCTGATATTTCTTATAAATAAATAAATTGGTGGCATGAATATACATGATATGGTAATTAGCTAATTACCGTAAATACGTAATTCGTAATTAACGTAATTAATTACCACTTTCATTCTTTAAAAACGTAATCACGTAATTAATTACGGGCGACGAAACTAATTACGGGTGACGAAATGAATTACAGGTGACGAAATTAATTACGGCGACAAATTAATTACTATTGTGAACATTGTCTATGCAAACCGTTGTTGACACTATACATGGGATGGTAATTGCATAATTACCGTAAGTACGTAATTATCGTAGTTAATTACCATTTTGCTCTTTAAAATCATAATTACGAAATTAATTACCATATTGCAGGCGACGAAACTAATTACGGGTGACGAAACTAATTACGGGTGATGAAATCAATTACGGGTGACGAAATCAATTATGAATAACAACGAATTAATTATTGGAAATATCATAATACAAGTCACTCCCGTTATAACAACAATCTCTGTACAAACAAAAAATGTCAGTATAACGGGAGTTCATATAGAAGTCATATGAGAATCATTATCACGTGATTTTGTAATTATATTTTTATTATATATTTTATTTTTATTTCATTCATGTTTTATCAGGAAATTTAAAACTTACACCGGGTCAAAATTGACCAGCATTATACAGAAGTGTTATCAGAATTTTCCATGGTGCCGGTCAATCTTGATCCCGGCGTAAGTTTATTTTCTTATGTTTTTTCAGAAATGAGAATGATTTTGATTGGTTCTCCCATTATACTGACATGTCGTTATAACAGAATAAATTCTATAATTCTAAAAAAAGTTGACAAATTATGTCATTATATTAATATAACGAGATAAATAATAGGTGTCATTTAATTTCGTCACGCGTAATTGATTTCGTCACCCGTAATTGATTTCGTAATTACGTATTACGTATTACGTTTTTGGCAAAGTAATTACCATCCCATGTATACTCCCCACTTCTTGTTATTGGCAACCTCCAAAACATCTAAGGCAAATGCCTTAGCTGATTCTCCTTCCATCAGGATTAGTGTTGATTCAGCAACTAATCCTGGTACGCTACAAGTAAATAAATAAATAATGTTAAAATGAATAAAATGAACAAATTTTGACTGATCCCAATCTCTAAACTAGAATAGCTCTCAAAACAATAAATAATACTTACGTTGAGGTTGTTTTATTCGAATTATTTGAATTATTCATTTTATTTCAAAGGAATTATTCGTTTTATTCAAATTTTTGTTTTATTCGTTTTATTCGTTTATTCGAATTATTCATTTTATTCGTTTATTCGGATTATGCATTTTATTAGATTTATTCGTTTATTCGTTTATTCGTTTGTTTTATCATTTTATTCATTTATTCGAATTACCCGAATTATTCGTTTTATTCGTTTGTTTTATCATTTTATTCGTTTTAGTTTTATTCATTTTATTCGGTTTTATTTGTTTTGTTCGGTTTTATTCATTTATTTGTTTTATTCGTTTATTCAAAACAATTAATTCGAATAAATCTTATTCAAATAGAAACCCATAAATGATCGAGTCATGTGATTCTATAATATTGTGACACCATTATTTTGAAAATTTGGCATTTTTGATTATTATCACGTGACACACAGATCTACAAACATCAGAATTCAAGATCTTTAAAAAAAAAAATTTTTTTTTAGAAAATGACAACTAATCGTCAAAAAATTAAACACTTAATAGTGGATTCTGGACCTTTTATTAAATTAACAGATGTTCGTTCACTAGCTGAAAATGTATACACTGTACCTGAAGTAGTTTCAGAACTTCGTGATCAACATGCCAGAGACTTCTTTAAACAAATTTCTTTTGACATCAAGTTAAAGAGACCTTCTGATAGTGCATTAAGAGAAGGTTTTTAACTAATATATTTACAAAATAGTAAAAAATGTATGTATTTTCTTTTTCTAACTCACCTACTTTTTAGTGATGAATTTTTCAAAAAAAACTGGTGATTTTGCAAATTTATCAGTAGTTGATTTTAAAGTATTGGCTTTGACTTATATGATTGAGTCAGAGACTAACGGCGCTGATAATTTACGTAAAGGACCCATTAAAGCAAATTCTAAATCCAATGAAATAGGAAAAGATTCAAATAAACCCAACGAGAATACTAATAATAATAAACATAATGATGAAGACTCAGTGACAGATGCAAGTAAATCTAATAATAACGATAGCGTCATGAATAATCAACAATTCAATGACAATGATAGTAGCATTGGT